AATTGTGAGGTGTTATATATAGCCTCTTGGAATGGTCAACAATACTTTATCACATTCATAGACGACTATTCAAGATTTGGATACCTATATTTGATTAGAGAGAAGTCACAATCATTGGATGTGTTCAAAGAATTTAAAGCTGAAGTTGAACTTCAGTCAGGCAAGAAAATTAAGGCCATTAGATCTGATCGTGGTGGTGAATACTATGGTAGATCTGATGGATAAGGTGAACAACGTCAGGGCCCTTCGATCTTCCTAAAGGAGTGTGGAATCGTCCCGCAATACACAATGCCAAGTAAACCTAGCATGAATGGTGTTGCGGAAAGGATAAACCGGACTCTTAAAGACATGGTGAGGAGTATGCTTAGTCATTCTTCATTGCCAGAATCACTTTGGGGAGAAGCACTAAAGACTACAGTTTATATCCTTAATAGGGTTCCCAGCAAAGCAGTGACAAAAATCCCTTATGAGCTATGGAATGGAAAGAAACCTAGCATAAGGCATTTACACATTTGGGGTTGTCCAGCAGAAGCAAGGCCTTATAGGCCAAATGAAAGAAAGTTGGACTCAAGAACAATCAGCTGCTATTTTGTTGGATATGTTGAACGCTCTCGGGGCTTTAAGTTTTATAATCCCACAACAAGATCCTTTTTGGAGACGGGAAATGCCAGATTCCTTGAGGATGTTGAGTTTGAGGGGGAAGATAAAATAAGGAATGTTGTCTTTGATGAGGAAGAAAATAATATTTCTCTTCCTAATATTGTCATCATTCAAGATGCAATTACGGAACAAGCAATTAATGATCAGGTCCATGTTCATGACATTGTTATGGAACAGGCTTTGGTCCCTGACATTGCTTTGGGTCAAGACAATAATGAACCACCCCTTATGCCACCTATAGAACAAACTCAAGAAGTACCATTAAGGAGATCCACTAGAGAAAGGAGAAATGCAATTCCGGATGATTATATTGTGTTTCTTCAAGAGCATGAAAATATTTTAAGCTTGAAGGAAGATGATCCAATCAACTTCCAACAAGTCTTAGAAAGCTCTAATGCTCATAAATGGATTGATGCCATGAAAGATGAGATGCAATCTATGAAAGACAACGACGTTTGGGATCTTATTGAGTTGCCTAAAGGTGCGAAACCCATTGGTTGTAAATGGATATTTAAAACCAAAAAGGATTCAAATGGCAACATCAAAAGATATAAGGCACGTCTAGTTGCTAGAGGTTTCACTCAGAAAGAAAGCATAGACTATAAAGAGACTTTCTCTCCGGTTTCTACGAAGGACTCTTTTAGGATAATAATGGCGCTTGTGGCTCATTTGGATTTGGAGCTACATCAGATGGACGTAAAGACAGCGTTTCTCAATGGTAACATTGATGAGACAATTTATATGGTGCAACCAGAAAACTTTGTATTGGGAGATTCAAAGTCTATGGTTTGCAAATTGAAAAAGTCCATCTATGGCCTTAAGCAAGCTTCTCGTCAATGGTACCACAAATTCCATCAGGTTATTATCTCCTATGGCTTTGAGGTGAACTTAGTGGAAGATTGTGTGTATCTTAAGTTCAGTGGGAGTAAATTCATATTCCTGATATTATATGTTGATGATATCTTACTTGCCAGTAGCGATATAAGCTTATTGCATAAAACCAAGAAACTTCTCACTAAAATTTTTGAGATGAAGGACCTTGGTGATGCATCTTTTGTCTTAGGAATACAGATACTTCGAGATCGCGCTCAAGGTATCCTACGGTTATCACAAAAGGCCTACATTGAAAAGATTTTGGATAGATTTGGCATGAAGGATTGTATATCAGGAGATACGCCCATATCTAGGGGAGACAAGTTTAGTCTTGCCCAATGCCCTAAAGGTAAGCTTGAGATCATAGAAATGACAAAGGTACCTTATGCTTCGGCAGTAGGAAGCCTTATGTATGCCCAGGTTTGTACACGCCCTGATATAGCATTTATAGTGGGAGTGTCAGGAAGATACTTGAGCAATCCAGGAATGGATCATTGGAAAGCAGCCAAGAGGGTTATGCGGTATTTAAAGAGAACAAAAGATTATATGCTTACATATCGGAGGTCAGATCAATTAGAGATCGTCGGATATATTGACTCTGATTTTGCTAGGTGCCAAGATAGTAAAAGATCCACGTCAGGTTATGTCTACATGTTGGCTGGAGGAGCTATTTCTTGGAAGAGTGTTAAACAGACACTCGTAGTTTCCTCTACTATGGCCGCTGAATTTGTAGCTTGTTTTGAGGCATCCAACCATGGGGTATGACTGCGAAACTTTGTCACAGGGTTGCATATAGTAAGTGGTGTTGAAAGGCCACTGAAGATTTATTGTGACAACAGGTCAACAGTGTTGTACTCCAACAACAACAGAAGCTCTTCAAAATCGAAGCACATCGATATAAAGTTTCTGGTTGTTAAAGAAAGAGTTCAGAGTGGTCAGATTTCCATAGAACACATAGGGACGAACTCCATGCTTGCGGATCTGCTTACTAAAGGCTTAGTGACTAAGGTCTTTCACGAGCATACTGCTCATATGGGTGTTGTTTTGTTCGATGACACTACGGTTTAGTGGGAGTTCTTTATGTTGGTGTTCTATGTAAATAAATAAATGAAATATTCTTATCTTTGTTTTCTGCAGAATAAAGAATTCAATGATTTTTTCCCTCTAAATGTATTATATTTTGTGCTTGTGTTTCTGCTTTGTGTATGCAGAAAATTTAGGATTGATCTCATAAAGATTAAAGTAGGACTAGTTAGAAATAGGCATGGTAAGATCACATTGCATGTAATTTTCATGCCACTCATCCATACTTGATCTATGTCATTGAATATATTGGTGCGATGACCATGGAAGGTTTAGTTACGCTTGAAAGTGACAAAAGCCGCCATGATCTCATATTGATATAGGAGGTGGACTAGATTGTATCTAAGGAGGAATCTAAAGAAAAATAGCATACAGTTGCGCACTAAAGATATACGATATAATTATCTCAAGTTAATATGTGGCCCAAATGGGAGATTGTTAGGAAATTATATTTTCTAATAATCATTGTGGGTCACATATTATATTAATAATTATATTGTGCTATTTATATATATTGGGTAAATTAAAGTGATCAATTAAATATTCCCAAATAGATTCCTAAGTGAGTATGGGCTGAATGAGTGGATACCGATGTTGGGCCAACTAGGTATAATGGGAGCTTATTGGTCCAATAATAAAGATAAAAACACTATAAGGGTTATGGTCCCCAAGACGTCAAATTACAACCCTAGTTTCTCTTCCTCATCAAGAGAGAGACGACACACTAAGGAATTTGGTTTTAGGGTGATTTGACTGAGGAAGACTACAAACTCCAAGAGACAAGATCAAAGTTATTCTGCTGCAATGGAGACAGGTATGCCTCCACCTTTATGTTCTTATTTCTTTATGATTTGGTATGATGGAGTTTGGCTTGTAGGTGATAGTTATCACCAAAAGGTTTAGAGGAATTAAAAAATTTCTAACGGGAAGTTGAAAGGGATCCATGATCATACCCTGCGGGGGAAAGTTGATGAAAACCGGAGGCGTAAGCTTCGTCCTTGGATATCTAGATGGCAGGCAAGGGATCAGCATATCGTTTGCCCCCCCTCCATTGCTCGGGTTGATGTCACCTAACCATGAGTACATGGAGTGGTACAGAGCTATAGGCAAGCGATACATTTCGCGGAGGGCAGCAAAGATTGGACGCATAGTGAGTTTCCCATTTATTTTAGCCTTTGTACTTATCTTTTATTAGTTTATTAATTGCTTATACATTGTTATTTACAGATTGACGACCTAGAGATGTTGTATCATGCAACCACTGCTGAGGAGTTTCCTCGCCATGGTTTACAGTATATCCATGAGGAGATTGGCAGGATTATTGGGATTTTTCGGGAGTCTTCCCGGCTAGATGAGCCTGGACCTGAGGCACCCTGACGCAGACATACAATGAGCCATAGTTGTCTCTGGACGTTCCATGTAATAGACAGGAGGGACGCAGATTAGGACGTACCCGAGAGCGAGTACCTGCTGTCCATGTTCCCATAGTTGGACCCAGACCAGTTATTGAGGCTCAGGGATGGTTCAGACTTCCAGTGATTGGGACTACGTATGGGTCACAACCCTTGTTTCATCAGGGATCCCAGTACCCAGGAGGTCCTAGCCAACCCCCGTCTCAGCATCCATACATAGATTCCCAGGAGCCAGTTTTTCAGGCAGTCTCATGGCTATGGCTGGGGGTGAGTAGGAGTACTGACAGTCGTACTCACAAGGTCTTGATGCTGACGAGCCGGAGTGGACTCACGAGGATACACATTACGTGTGGTCAGCCCTAGGCCTTATTCCAAATAGCCACGACAGTGAGGCGACTGATGCCACGGGTAGCCATACGTAGGGCGTCACGCCATCCCACATGCAGGCCAGTTCATCTGGCTATGGATACTCACATCATTCACGGGTATCTCCAGATATGAGTGCACACACCGCCGCAGATGATTTCATTCAGGCGGCGTTGGATGATTACCACACTCCACCACCAGCTGCACCTCAGGGCGACCCGGTATGGGATAGACGTATTCAGCCAAATCGGGATGCACGTCATAGGCCATGGTCACCGTGGGCGTAGTTTTATTTATGGCGTAGTTGTTATTTAGTTCTCTGACTTAGTTTACTTACGTCGTTTTTTGTATAACTTGGACTATATTTTGTTATGTATTGGACTCTACTTATTATTTTATGGGATTAATTATCTTTGTCTATTTGTGGCCTGAAGTTCTGCAGAATGCATACATTTAGGGAAAACTATAAAAGTTGACAACTAGATTTGATCCAAAAAATAACATACATAACAACGAAATAAAAACATACATTACATGTTATCAAAAAAAAAAAAAACATACATTACAAGCTATTAAGATTATGATTGTAGTCCGCAGATATGGGCGCTAATTGTTTGCGCCACGATTTGGACATGTTATGCGATTATGTTTGCGTTCCTTGCAAATTCCACACCTGATACGGCTTTGACTTGTCTCAAGTTCATCCATCTCATTACGGGTGCGAGTGGATTTTGGACGGCCTTTTGCACGCAACATGGTGGAGTCAGGAATAAGTTGTGGACCTGTACTTGGTGGTATTGCTTCCTCATTACCAATTGGCTGCAACGGATACGAATAAGCCTCGACCAAGTTAGTTGTCAAGAAAACATCATCCACGTACTGCAAAGGATTTTGTCGCACACTTAAAGCAGCAGCAGCGGCGTGACTACACAGATATTTTAAAGCCTTAAACTTTCCACATTGACAGAACCTCTGTGGGAGATTGACAGAATAGGAACGATCCCAACCAGGGCCAACCTCGAAAACTGTGTGTTCCACGTTATATGCACGGACATGGTGGCCTGTTGCTAGTATTTCATTCTTCTTGACCAATTCAACAACATTTTTGCAATGACGATGAGCAAATTGAAGTTGCGCAGCAGCAGATGTACTTCTCGTAACAAAATAATGAACCAATCTGCTATATGTGTGCTTAATCAAAGTAGTTATGGGCATATTTCTGGCCCCTTTCAACACCCTGTTAACAGATTCTGCCAAGTTTGTTGTCATATGTCCGTACCTACGACCTTCAACATCGTATGCACGCGACCACTTTTCTTTAGGGATGGCATCAATCCACTCAGCAATCTGAGGACTAGTTTCCCGAAATCTGGCAAGCCCTATTTCAAAGTCAACCATTGCCGGAGTATAACCTGCACAATTGACAGTAATATACGGATCGCACATAAGAGACATACTATGCAAACAATTAAATAAGATACAATTAGTGTAGTTTACCTAAATTCTTTAAAGTCCGCTTCAAGTCTTCATTTCTAAAATTTTGATTGAAGTTGCTGGCAATATGACGAATACAACATACGTGATATGCGTTTGGTTAACCAATTACGGTTATTCTCCACAACAGATATTATGCTACAATGACGATCGGAGATGAGGCATATATTTGACATCTCAGTAACATGAGCACGTATATTAACAAGGAAATAGTCCTCCCAGGCTTCCAATCTTTCACCTTCTACGATGGCAAAAGCAATCAGTAAACATTCATCATTTCTATCTTGGGCTGTGGCCACCAACAATTTGCCTTTGTACTTCTCATATAAATGCGTGCCATCAATCTGGATGACTGGTTTGGCAAACTTGAACGCCTCACAACATTGTCTAAACGTCCAAAATATGCGATGAAACACCTTTTTCCCAGGAACTAAGCCTTGTTCCACATAAAAATCATTTGTTTGAATATGATAAAATGAACCTGGAGAAAAACGAAGCATGTATTCACACCACCTTGGCAAAAAAACATACGATTCCTCCCAATCACCATACATAATTGCCATCGCTTTCTGCTTCGCATACCATGCCTTTCTGTACGAAACTTTAAAGCCATATTTAGAGGTTATGCTTTCCTGAATCAAAGAAATTGAGACAGATGGTTCTTCCCTTATCATTCCTACCAATCAAGAGAATACAATCACATTGCGTATAACAAATTTATTTACACATACAACTCTAACAGTTGATATCTCATTAAAACAAAATACGTACCTAGAACGAGGTCCGCAATGACGTCAACATCGAGCTGCCTATGACCCTGAGAAATGTGGTCATTCAAACAATTATGATCACCACCCCATCTCGTAATCTTCTAATTTTCACCAAACACTGGTTTGATCGCCCTAACGCGCCACGAGAAACCTTTATCATTCGCGCAACATTTCATGCTTAACTTTGCAGGCGTGCTCTCAATTACAATTGCTTCTTGATGCTCCCTAATGAGGTTGTGCTTCAGTGCCATTTGGACCTCTTTTTTGTTGCAAATTCTTGGTTCACAAATAACTTGTCACCCAGTTGCCACGGACCTTGTATTGATCCCGATCCTGAAACCGTACCATCAGTGCATGATTCTTGTTCGCTCCGATAACTCCAATCAATATACGAATAATGCGGAATTCCTTCCCAAAAAGGAGTAAGAGCATCGTCGCCTGCATATGTACCTTTGAAACATCTTAATACAAACCATCATCATCACGTATATACAAATTATATAAATTACCAAGGTCATGATTACCTATATGTGGGGATGCAACATGTTCACCTTGCGGGATTTGCGCGACCACTGGTTGATGGTATACTGGGAATTATGACGCGCCCATATCACATGCTTCATCTCCTTCTGAAGCACTAGCATCCTCCGCCAGAAGACGTTCTTCCATTGCGATATTTTCATCATCATTGTCGTCGTCTTCGTCATGCATTTCCGAAGTCGGATCATTTTCATCTCCCTCAGAAATGTTACCAACTGGAGAAGCATGAGCGGCAGATGTTGATGGAAGACAAGGAGAATTTAAAGCAACCGACCTCACCGGTACTGGAACATCCTCCGATGCAGAATGTCCACATACAACTCCAGAAAATCTTTCCTTGACTGGTTGAAAAATTCTTCTATTATCATCTCCACGTCTTCATCATCAACCACTTGCAAACTAATGTATTGTTCAGATTGCCATAACCTTGTCGTAATCTGAGTGATACATTGGTTACCTTGAAGACTTAATTTTTGTCGAATTCTCTGATGCAGTTCGCCAATGGTTGTGTTGCAATGGATACATGTCGGCCTTTTTTTACCATCAAACATGACACCTCGTCGACCTTCTACCTTCCTACCATTATAATATAAGACAACACGAACGAAATTAGAATGTGAACTCATTCTTAAATCAAAAAAGGAATAAAATAAAAACACTAATTTAAAGATAACAATTGTGTTTGTAATATGTAAGAATTGATGGCAAAGAAGAGATGTTAAGATTGCAAAGAGTGTTAAGGGTTTATATAGAATTCTGTGACCAATTCACGCCAAAGGGGCATTAAGGCTGCACATGTCACGTCCAAATTGGACGTCACATGTGACGTCCCATTTAGACGTCACCCATTAGGGTATCACGCCTAAGTGAGGCGTCACATGTGACGCCCAATTTGGACGTGACATTGTGTAACATACGTGTAATTATTTTGGAAAAGTGTATTAAATGCTTAAATATTTTATTAAAAAAGCATTAAATTAAATTTTTTTCCCCTTAAGCTTATTTACATTTGAGCGCCAAGTATTGGTCTTCGCCCTGTCTTAAAACCCTGAATCCCGTTGCATTAGGGTTTAGGTGTTCGAAGAAAACTCTGACGACGAATATGGGAACTCGTTCGACGTTGGTCGGGAAGGAAGTCCCTATCATCGGAAGCGACTCCGTTCGCTGGATCGAACTCTCCGTTCCTTCTTCCTCCAACATTGCCGTCGACGGTGGCGCCTCCCCTCTCGCACCCCTAACCACCGACGACCGCGCCTCTTGCTTTGTCATCGGAGATCCTCCTGTTTATCTTATTTGGTTCACTTTCTCTCTCCAATTTCTCGAATAACGATTTCATTTCTTGCGTTCGAAAATTTCTCCATTTCACTAACTGCATTCTTTGAACAGGAGAATTCACAAGGCACAGCCTCAAGCTCTCGAGTTGCTCGAGCTTTCTGCTTCCAAAGAATTTCCTCGTGTGGGACTCAGATTCACTTTCCCCGATGCGCTCTGTCCCTTCGCTTTTCTCTGCAAAAACAAGGTTACTCATTCGCCCCCATTTTCCACGGTTATTGATCATTTAGTGTGTGTGTGTGTGTGTGTGTGTGTGTGTGTGTGTGTGTGTGTGTGTTGCAGTAACTCACTTGGCACAACTTGTGTTTTTCATTGATGCAGATTACAGCCGGCACTTCTAGATTCCCTTACTTGCTTTATGTGTTGACTGTGTCTGGCGTGGCTTACCTCTTGAAAATTCGAAATGTTTCTGCATATGCGTCCAGCTCCATTTTCCAAGTGGATGAGCTTTTAGAGCTCAATGTTGGAGATTATATTTCCAATCATGTAACAATAACTGCCGTAACAGCAACCGCTGGGGGTCTTGTTATTGGCACAAGTGATGGTTCAGTTAGCTGTTTCCAGCTTGGTGTACTCGACCCTAGTGCTCCTGGTATGGTTAACTTGGCCCTTTGATCTTTAGTTACCACTATGTGTGTCGCCGCTCACACATTTCGTCCTGCCTTTGTTTTTTTAGTTGTAAATTAGAGTGTTATTTGAATTTCCTATGGGGACTTGTGGTTGCATTCATACTACTCTCCCAAATTGATGTAGGCTGGTTTTGTCTGTCATTTTGATGGCTGACTTGAAAATCGAGATGGGTTCGGCTATAGAGCAACATAAGCTTGCCTTTGACTATGTCAATGTTTGGAATTTTGTTGATATTTATTCATCACTTTTCAACGGCTTATAATGAATTTGTTTTCCATCGAAGGTTTTGTGCATGAACTAAGAGATGAAGCTGGAATCAGCCGTTTGTGGGGTTTAATATCACGGTAATTTCTTTTTATATTCTGATACCCAATAAGCAGAATAAATTATATATTGTATTATTATGTTAGATATCTTTTCCAATCTTCATTCTATTTTCTTTTTCTTGGATTGAAACCCCCTATTTGTTATGAATTATAAGATGTTCATTAAACATGTTTTCTAGGGGTAGAATGGTGGGTACTGTACAAGACTTGGTAGTTTCCGAGTTGCACGAGAAAAAGTTTGTTTTTGTGCTTCATTTGGATGGGACATTACGAATTTGGGATCTTGCATCTCGTAGCAGGGTCTTTAGTCATAACTTGGGCATTGTGATAATGGAAGGTATTTTCTACCTCTCAGATTTCATTACAACCTATATTTTTTTTTATATTCATGTCATACTTGCTCCGTTACCAGATGGGGCTCCACAAACATTAAAGAGGACTCTTAATATTGATTTCTGCTATATTCATGTTTATATGAATGGGAGAAATTAGGAAACTTGCTAGCATATTATACATGGAGGGTTTCAGGATTCCACGATTTGACTTATAGGTTATGAAATCCAGAGAGTATGCACTGTATGGGTAATGGGGGATTATTTGGGGGCTTCTGGGCCTAGTGGTGGCTACCTTTGATGTTAATCAAATGGCTTCTTGGAGATCTTTTAGCATCTGGAGGCTCAACAGGTTTTTTGTAGAGAATTTGGATAAATAATCGTGAAAAAAACTTCTGGATTTTTAGCTTTTATCTGTGAAAGAAGAAATGGTGTTTCATGGCCTCTTTTAATATATTGCAGTGGACATTAAACTTGGATAAAAGGGAAATATTAGGTCTGATTTTGTAATTTTCTTTAGGAATTCTAAAGAAAATTAATGAGAAAATTTGAAGGGAATGCAACATTTTGCTAAGAACGATATTCGGTGCTTTCATAATCTTGATATTTGATGTAAAGGAAAGGGAGACAATATTTATTCTCATGCCACTTAAATGCTTTAGGTTCCAAACAGGATAAATCTATCATTTCCAGCGTGTATTATGTCTTCCCTGCCATTTTTTTTACTTGTATGCACAAACACAGATGTAATCTCACACTTTATTGTTTGTTCTTCAGGTGCTACCTTTGTAAGGTTATGGGTGGGTCAATCTCACCCCGATTCGAGTATAATTCCTTTGGCAATCTTGTACAGACATACATCGGTATGAAATTAAAGACATTCTGATTTCTAATTCACTTCTTGAATACAAAATGTAAATATATAATTCTGATTATGTTTAGCTATCTTCTGTTTACATGGACGCTTGAAAGAAACTTAAATAGTTTCTAAAATTTGGTAGTAGGAATATCATGTATTCTGTGTGTATCAATTGATGAGTTCCTATGATAGATGTATATGGATTCTCATATCCGTCTAAGCAATTAAATTTACAGTCTATCCTAGCATTTAAACCTACTAAAGAATCCAATTTGTTTGCATGTTATTTATAGTCTGGGTTGCAATGGGTAGACAGAAGAATCAAGGTCATGGTTTAAAATAAAATAGTAATTTGAAACATAGGTCTGGTAATAATAACTTCATATTGATAATAACTTCTTTGTCTTAACTTGATGCTTCCTGTTTTCATTTTTTGTTTGTTTTCTTTAACTACGTGGTTCTTCTTTCATTTCCCTTTTTCTTCCCCCATGGATATAGTTGAATCTTCTATCTTTTATTATGAGTTTTTCTGAAATTCGAAAAATAATAGTTTATATAATGCTGACATTTTATAATATACCTACTTCAAAATGGAGAGACATCATAAGAATTTGTTTAACACTCGAAGTTTAGACATTTGAGAGAAATCTGAGCTGTCCTTTAAAGACTATAATATCTATTGATCATCAGCTGTTTTGTTGATGTAAAGATCAATATTACACTTTAGTTTGTTATGTTATATTGCCGTCTTTTGTAACTGATTTTTTGGGGTTGCTTGTGAAGGATGAAAACTTGGAGATGATCTCTTTACATAGTATCCTATATAATTTTGGGGACAGAATTGTTTTCTCTATGGAGCCTTCAGTACAAAATATTCCCTTGGAGGAGGTAATCTGTTAGCTTTTTAATTCAGCTTGGATTGGATGTGGTTTTTTTTCCCCTTGCTCCAGATGTGAGACTGCTTTAGTTTTGTCCAGGGACGATGCCTTGATGTTAAATTAACGTTGGATAAGATATGGATATTGAAGGATGATGAATTAATATCACAAATGTTCTCTACAAATATGGATGGGTATGTAACATTTTCAGTTTCTTTATGCCAAACTGTTCGTTTGATCATCTTTATATTGCAGTATAAACCTGTAATTATATCTCCATGGTTTTTGTATTTTTCTACTCAATTTGAAAGAAGGAAGTTGGTTTATAACTCTAATATAGCTCATCTTTACCAATTGATAGTGATAGAACTGTTATCCATAGGCATGGCCAGGGTCTGTGTTGATGCTGTTGTAGATAACAGTTTTCATCAATCCATTTGATTTACAAGTAGCCATCATGTTACTATTGTAAGTCAAATTTCTGAATGCTAATTTCTTATATTTGAAAAGATTGTTATTCATGAATTTTATTACATTCAATGCAATTTGAAATTCATTTAGGATTTTACATTGATGGGATCAACTGTGGATTTTGGAAAAAACTCATCCCTTAAAAAGATGTTCAATGGTGTAAGATTAGTTTTTTAACACTTGTGTCAAAGGTTGGTTCCTAACGCTATGCATATTTTTTTTTCATAGAAAAATAAAATTTGCTAGAAAATTGAAGACTAAAGATCCTAACCATAATATATACAAATCTAAGCTGTAGTTGCTTCCCTGTTGATGTGGGTGAAATGATTGTTCTTGCGTAATTGTTATCCTTTTTCTTGTCAGGGTAGAAGCATTTTCTTATGCTCTACAGGAAGAATTTGTTGCTGATCAGCTATTTCAAAATTCAGAACATCTTGTTGATGAAATTTTGCGGATCACGCATTCAATATTTTCATCTTCAAAGGTATTATGTCATTTATGGTTTTTATCTTTGAAGGTCTTGAAAACCTTTTATTCCTTTTGCTAGCTATGCACTTTTTTTGCACTTTGTTCATGTGTTTGTGCTCAAATACATGTGTACTTTTCTTGCCAATTGCTATATATAACGATGATTACTCCCTCTCTTAAGAACAAGGTGGTTGTTTGCTTTCAATCACTCTGGCTACATGTGAATGATACATTTTGAAAGGAAATTGTATTTGCATACCCTTAATTTTCATGGTTTAGGAAATATATATGGGAAAAAGAAGTATAATGTTGTAGGAAAGTGTTTAGGTTATATTATAGAGATAGAAATTGTGGGACCCACACTTGTTTTCAAAAATAAAAAAAATAAAAAAGTATGGGTCCCACAATCTCTATCTCTATAACATAATTTAAACACTTTCCTACAACATTATACTTCTATTTCCCAATATATATATATATATATATATATATATATATATATATATATAAAACAATATCCTGTTGAATCTGCGACATTTACACTGAAAAGGTTTGCCAATATCCAGAAATGGTCCCTGGAAGTAACTTACCCTTCATTGCCTCTGATAATGTTTTAATAAATATTGAAGATGTAATAAAAATTGAAGATGAAATGTTTGAAGTTTTAAACTACGAGTGCTGGACTAAAAACCATTTGTATCAATGAAACATGTAAGTGCTAATTGTTATCCTGCTGTGAGTTCTCATATTGTAAAGATATGACTTAGTTATTTTTTATTAATAAAAGAAGAAACTCATTAAAAGGAAGGGCATGACTCCCAATTATTTCTTTTCTGTAGGATGATATTTTGCCTTTTGTATCTTCTATTTTCCTAAGAAGGCTGCTTCTTCCTGGGGTACATCATAATGCTGCTTTGTATGCAACTCTAGTCGAGTATAGCAGGCATTTGGTTGAATCTGAGTTAGACACGTTAACTGCTGATGGACTACAAAAGGAGATACTTTCACTTATAGAGCATGAGGTGATCATTGTCATATCTTTTAAATCTCATATCTCTCCTAGCATTTCTCTCCCTTTATTTTTGGGAGGGCCAGGTTGTGGTAAACTGACAAGATTGATAATGTGGCAGGTTGGCTCTGAAAAAATGTCCATATTGCATTGCTGGAAATGTTTCTTCACCCGCTACTTCCATAATTGGCGCAAGAACAATGCATTATATGGTTTGCTTGTTGATTCCTCTACTGATGCTGTCGGTATAATTAGAAAAAGCTCAGTTTCGCTTATCCGGTCTTTGGAAGATATTGAGCGGATTGTAGAGGGTAATTAATAATTATGGTTACCTCTATCTCTTTTCTCTTAATAGAATTCTTGCACCAAAATATATCTAGCTTTTTCTTAGACAATTTTAATTATCTTGCTCACTATATTCAGTTCATTGTTTTCCTTTGTTTCCTTAATATGGTCTTTTGTTCATATTCTATAGGCTTTCCGGATGAACTTAGTGAGCTCGCAGGCCTTGTACATTTAATTGATGATGATCTTGAATGTGAAATTCTGCTCGAGTTGCTCAGATGTGTTATAAGTTTTAGCCAACAGTTGGGAAAAACTGCTTCTTCTATATTTTATGAATCACTTTTAACTGCACCGGTGATCTCTTCTGAAGATATTATTCGTTGTATAGTGAAGATTCTGGAAACTGGATATTGTATATCAGGTCCAGTGCTCCAAACCTCTACTTCTGGGGATAGTATAGTTGTTCTGGAAAAGGAGCTGGCAGATCATAAAAGTTTGAGGAAACTTTCTGTTGACATGTTCTTGTCTCTTCAAGGCTTGTATAAAAAGGCTTCTGCATGGGACAGGATTTTAAATGTAATCGAGGGTTTCTTGAAATTTTTTGTTCCCCAGAGAATAATTCATAATTTTGATACTGAGATGTCATCAAACATTAATTCCTTCATTATAGTACATACTACTTATCAGATTGCAAAGGTGATGTTTGAATCTGCCTGGGACTTTCTTCTATTTTTAAGCTATCTGGTGGACATCGGTGGTCAGGTGAGTTTATACACATATTTCTATTTGTGTATATGCTTGTATGCATAATAGTTTTCTTATTGTAAACATCAGTTAATTTAAATTATTTTTTAACTAAATAATATAGCAAGTGGAAATTCTTACTAGTAAGTTGTCTGCATTTCTTATGTTTTCCTTTTTTCAATAGTAGTATTCATAAGTTTTATGCTTGATGTACTTGAACTGAGTTTGATATTTGTCAACTCTTGAACTGCCAACAAACTGATCCATTAGAGAAACTGATTAGTGAATACAACCGGGTCACTTAGATTTTTTTTCTTGGTTTGCTACCTTTGCACTGTATTGGTGACTGGATGCCATAATAGATCATTTTGTTTTAATTTTTCTTATATGATGATTCGCATATGTTAAATGTTGTCTGTTAGTGTCATATTTGAATATAAGCTCCAAAGCTTCCGGTTAAGAGATCGCAGTTAGAAATTAGGCAACAATATAGGCTAATGTTAATTTCTTTTTTCCACCCCATGAAATGATAAAATTGAGAATCAGTGTGGCAATCACTACTACTGAAATAATAGAATCTGAAATTTGAAATGAGATTAAGAGATTATGTGGTTTTAATGATGAATAGTAAGCTGTACAGAATTAGGGTCTATTTTGCACTGACACCGACATAGGACACGACACATTAATTCTAAAAGATGTTAGATTTCGACACATTAGGACACGTTTTGATATTAAATAATATTTTAATTTATGTACTGTATATTATATTTAATATTTAATAATTTAACAAAAAAATGAAGCTAAACTTATAATACCCATCAATTTTGCAAAGAAGCATAAGATATCCCAAATATTTATTTTAAACTCAATTAAATGGTAATCGTAATCTAACGAATTTAATAGTTGAAACTAAAATTGCAACGCAACGCAATCTTTGAACCCTTTTTGGAGTCTTTGCAATGCGTGTTGGAGTATCGGGGAGTGTTGGACACAACACATCAGGTTTTTTGAAGTGTCGGTCCATCATAGATTAAGGTTGGGTTGTTGTCAGGGTAACATGGCTTAAAGATGCACTTAAATTTAAATTTGAAGAAAAATAAATGCACTCTAATTTTTTTTATTTAAATGTTTTGGTGCAATCATGGTTTAATTTGCATTTGCTAGCTGTGAAAAGATGGGATATTCACGAGATCAGAGTTTCTTGAAGAATGGAATTTGTCAGTCGAACAATAAACATACACTTCTGTCATGATTTGGGAGTTCAAGGATTGTACTCCATAGTACTTGGTTAGCCATGGTCTAATTCCATGTTGGCATATTTTATGTAGAACAAGTTTTCAAAGAATTTACGAGGTCTTATTTGTTAGCAAAATGCTATTACTTCGTGAACTTAGATTGATATGTCATATATCTCATCTTTAATTTTTTTAATGCAGGTAAATTTGTCACATGATGATATAACCAAAATAAAATTTGAGTTAGTTCCAATGCTTCAAGAAATTATTTTTGAATGGCTAATCATCATCTTCTTTGCCATCACACCATGTGCACCAGCTGTAACTGAGGACTTCAATTCTAAACTTTCATCATTACAAATAGGTAGGTTGTATGCTGTATTTATATTGTATTACTAGGCACGCCAATTTATTAAGTTTGACAGGGATTTATCATTATAAGGGGATAAAGGCTCACGTGAAGGCTCCCTTACCAAAATAAAAAGAAACAGAGATCGATTTTTTTTAATGAGCTCTCTCCCCCATCCCTCCAAAAAAATGCTTTCATTAAGAAAATCAATAAAATTTGCAGGTTGTTTGGTTGTAAATTTTATTGAGAATTTCTTTTAACCTGAATGTTTTAATATTGTGTGGAAACATTCATTATGCATATGGATTAATTGACCCCATGGGATTAGATGTTTTAAATTGACCTGTTGTTTAATTCTTTTTTTCACTCTAAGATTGCAGCTTTGTGACGTGGCGGTCACAGCCTCATATTTTCTTGTTGTGGAAATGGCCTTTATGCTTACCAGGCTCTGGGTGTCAGGCCGTGCGCATCTGACCCTTCTTGGTTCCCATGATGGTGGGAGCCTAGTACATTTGGCCACCCTGAATAATCAGATGCGTTATAGTACTTGAGACTTGATAATAATTCTAATGTATTGTGGCAGATGTGGGCGTGGTTGTTATATAACACATAAAAGTTAAGTGTTAACTGTGGATTTGACTTGAATTTAATACCACGAGGTCCAATTATATCAATCTACTTATTTTTGTTAGAAAATGTTAGTTCTTCCAGATTCCAAATACTGTTGGGGATATTAGTCTCAAAAAGTAAACGAGAAGTGGCTTGGATTTGAGAATGCCCAAAATCACAATATTTAAAGTTTATACTTTTCCCTCCAATGCTTTGATAACCCTTGTTGGGCCATCATGGGTAGTCCAAAATACTGGGGAAATTTATTTCAGTAGATTCATTGAGGAACCACACTAGTGGGCCAAGCTTCGTGCGTCAACCTAAAATCTTAAGGCAATGAGTTTATGGTTCTTCTTACTTATATGGTCTTCACTCATACTTTAATATTCAACATTCTCCGCCTCAAGTTCAAGTCCTAACATTAATATGTTCTCCCGCAAGAACTTGTATGTCTTTGCATAACCCATTTTACCAATGTGGGATTTCATTACTCACTGGATTTTCAACATTCTCCGCCTCGAGTGCGAGTCCCACTACTAGTATCAGTATGCTCTCCCTCAAGTAGAAGTTGTCCTAGTATTCATAGGATTATCAACCAACAGCTGCTAACTCTTGTTTAATGCTCAACAACATGGGTTGGGACTGAACCTCAGTACTAATCATTGTCTTGAAATACTCGGCCCACCCGAATTATCAATTTTGATACCACTTGCTGAGTGGTAAGGTGAATCTTGAAAGCTGGGTAAACCTCCGTAAATGGTTTAAGCGCAAAAGCACAATAGTAGGCTTGACACCAAAACCTTTGGCTGGATGTCAATTTCTCCAGTGGCCTCTCACTTATCTTGGTATCCCCCTGGGAAGTAATCCTTGGGCCTTGTCCTTTTGTGACCTGGTTGTTTGTAAGATTTCCAAGCATTTTAGATTGTTGGATGAGTGCCTTTTTCCCTTGGGCAGGTCGCATTACTCGTATAGTATACAGTCTTTTTCATCTAGCAATACTTTATACTATCTCTATTTTGTATTTCGGTAGCTGTTTGTAGAAAATTGAGAGAATCATGTGGGATTTCCTTTGGTCTGTGGTGTGAGAATCAAGTAGAGATTATTTTTTGAATTGGGAGGTTTGTTGTAGACCTAAGATGGAGGTTAGAAATGTTTCTCTTTGCTAGGCTTTTCCAAGGCTCTTTCAGCTTTCTTCTCTTCATGATTTTCCTCTTTGTCAAGTTTGTTGACTTGTTCTTCTTCATCTAACTTCTCTTGGAATTTTCACTTTTTCAGAAACTTGCATGATAGAGAGGTTTGTGAGTTTGAATCTCTAGAATCTCTTTTGATTTTGCTTGATTCTGTACATCTTTATTCCTATAATCATAAAAGAATTTGGTCCCTTGACCCTTCGGGTGTCTTCTCTTGTAAATCATATTTTCAGTTTCTGACTAAGTCCCTTAATAGAGAAATTTTCTTTTGTACAAAACCATCTGGAAATCCAAAGTTCCCCCTAAGGTCCAATGTTTTGTCTGGATTGTTGTTCTTAACAGTATTAAAAGTTAAAACTAATGACATGCTACAAAAAGTGCAGGCCTCTCTATCCTTTGTCTCCTAATATGTCTCTAATGCGCTGTTATAGTTTTGGAAACCAGGAATCATCTTTCTTTCTTCTTCTTCTTTTTTTTTTTTTGGCATTTTCTGCTGTGAATTTTCTTTGGAATAAGCTTTTTGGGGATTTTTTTTATGAGAATTAGGTCTGCCTTAAGGATTTGCATTCGTTTCTCCTTATTAAATTTAGAGGTTTTTGCTTTCATAAAGAAGCTAGGATTCTGTGTCACTGCCCTGTCTTTGCTTCTCTCTAGTGTATTTGGCTGTAAAGGAATGTTAGAATTTTCAATTCTTCATCTCTGGACAACATTTGGGACAAGGTTACTTTTTTAGCCTGTTTGTGTTGTTCTGCTCATGGATTTTTTTGTGATGTTTCTTTGTTAGACATGGAGGGAGATTGGCATGCCTTGTTATATGACTCAACCTTTTAGTTTCTAGGTGTTATTTTGTTACTTTGAGAGAATGTCTTGTCATCTTGTTTTGTACTCTTCTTTTCTTCCATAATGAAATTTATTTTTCTATAAAAGAAAATAATTTTCCCTATAATTTTAACAAAAATTCTTGAAGAGAATATATGAATAATGTGTCTAGGTATTAATTCTGTTGATTCAAGCAAAAGTATCTAGTTTTACCCACCATATATTTTTTCCTGACATCTGAGATGAGAACATAGTCAAATGAGTGAGATTTGTGTTGCATTATAAAAAAAATGAGTCAAGTTTGTTGATTTGTGAACTTTAAAGTTTTTCAGCGGAGGACAACTTATGTCTAATGGCTAAAACAACTTCGCCTGATTGCACCTGTTTACATTTGGGGGTTACTGAATCAAATATTGTCAAATAACCAATTCAATCTAAAAGATTAAACTATTAGGTGAAGGCATGTGAATTGTTTTATTTTTATATCATATTTCTGACATGTCCCCTTACACAAGAGACCATTGGGCTTAAAGGATGGACTATATACAAATTCACCCATTTGTGCTAAGAAATTCCACAATAATTATTAAAAGATAATTAAAAGAATAGAGGTTGTAAAAATCGAACTCTGGACCACTTGATCACAGAGGCTCTAATACCATGTCAAATAATCAATTCAACCCAAAAGTTTAAGCTATTAGGGGAAGAGGGATGTATGATTTTATATTTATATTATTTTTCTAAAAAATACATATATGCCATACTGCTGATATTGTGTTAACCTTTTTTTGTCATGATCCAGATAACAACATGGGGAAACGATTATGGAATGAGAAGCTTGGCAGATGTGACTTCACATTGGCTTTTATATTCTTGCTAAATGTTGGAAGTTCATCTATAGACCTTAGCCAGTTTTCTTCAGATCGTGTTTCAAATATGCAGAGTTCTATAAATAGGACGAGAGACTTCATCAGTTGGATCATATGGGGCAAGGCTGGAGGATCTTCTACTATCTTGAGCCGTTCAATTGATCTTGCTTTTATCCTTTTCAAGCATGGCCAGTATGGTGCTGCTGAGGTTTTTTACTTGCCTGTTCTTTTCTTCCCAGAATGGGAATTTAGTCCCCTCTCTTTCTTCTCTACTCTGTATTTATCTTTACTGAAAGTATCCTATATTTCAATTTACAAATGTTTCAAAAGCAATTGCTTATGATGGTGGAAACACATTTGCTAAAGGAAAAGACGTCCCAAAGTATTCAGGATGCTGATGGTGGATGGTGCATCCGTCATCATCTTCTTGGATGTTGCCTACTTGCGCAGGTGCAGTGCGGATTGCATGCAACACAGAAGGATAAAAAAGTTTCTGATGCCATTCGCTGTTTCTTTAGGTACAACAATTAGCCTTTGAATTATTTTTCTTTTTATTATTTAATCACGAGGACATATTTCAAAGAAGCAAATTTCATCTGACATTTTCAGCCTTTAGTTGTTCCATTAGTTAAGTGATATTGGTTAATTTCTTTGAACTTGAGTTCCATTTTGAAAATAAAAAGGTCTAAATGGAAGTCATCTTACTTGTATTATACACTTGTTGTTGTAGTAATTGCTAATATATATATATATATATATATATATATATATATATATATATATGGGGTTTACATTTCTGCAGCTGCTGTACGTGCAGCAGTCAAATAGTTGCCATATATATACATGAAAGCATTAAATGTGGGGAATCATAACCATACAAAAGATGAAAGCATTAAATGTGAAGAATCATGACCATACATCTGTCATTGTTGTACGTAAAGTGGCTGCAGAAATGATTTTACCTATGTGTGTATATATATATATATATATATATATATATATATATATATATTATTTGAGAGAGAATCCACTAATACCTGTGTAAGAATAATAATCTTACGAACAATCTTAGCCGTTGATTCCACTTGCATCTAACGGTTCACATGCCTAATAAATTAGAGCAATTATATGCAAGTGAAATCAATGCCTAATATTGAGTGTAAGATTACACCGGTGTAAAGTGATCATTCCCCATATTATTTTCTTATTTATTATTTTTATTCCATCAATTTTTTCTTTGGTTCATCTATTGCAAACTCCAACTAGTTTGAGATAAAAATGATGTTGATGATGATGTATTAGATCATAAGCCTAGTAGTTGATTGGTAAGATTACACGGACACGAACACGGGCACGGGACACGACACGACATGCCGACACGTTAATTCTAAAAAGTGTCATATTTCGACACGTTGGGACACGTTTTAATATTAAATAATATTTTTAATATATATAATATAATTTATTAATTTATATTTAATACATATAACAACCTATAATAAGTCATATAATCAATCAAATATTCAAATTGTATAATTTAAATATAAACAAAAATAATTTTTCGCACATTGTTAATTTTTTATGTCAAATTTCATAACAGAAAAAAATTGATTTATAAATTATTTTTTTTATGTTTAGTTAATAAATTAAAATTAAGACCTAAAAAAAAAAAAAAAACGTGTCGGAGCGTTGACCGTGTGTCGGAAAAAGTTGATTGCGTGTCGGAAAAACGTGTCGGAACGTGTTTGAGAGTTGATCACGTGTTCCAAAATGTTGACCGCGTGTCGGAACGTGTCGGTGTCCAACACGCAAATTTTGCAAAAATTAACGTGTCGGTGCTTGTTAGCTTATGATCTAGCAAAAAACTAGGTCATATGTTAATTGTCACAGACTGTAACAAAATAGAGGAAAGTCATGATTTGATGAACAAGGAGAGAGAACGCAAGAAAGAGAAAATGGGGAGACCAGAATAGTTTATTCTGTAATTTGATCAATTGTCAACTTTGAAATCTCAATAGATACACATATATATAATGTATTACTTGCTATTCTTACACTGGTGTAAGTTGATTCTTCTCAATATATATATATATATATATATATATATATATATATATTTATATAAATATATATACAATAGTTGATTGGTTTTCAAAAATATATATTACATATTTGGTTTAAGGCCTCTTCATATTTATTTTTGGTTTCCTTAAAAGTGTCACATCACTATTTTTTGGTATTTAATTCAGGTCTTCATCTGGAAATGGTGCATCTGAGGCTCTGCAGAGTTTATCTGATGACGTCGGAATTCCATATCTTGGTTTTAGTGAGTATCTCGGTTGCTAAGCTCCAATGATCTGAAGCAAACAGATAATCTTAAGTTTTAGTTGCTTATTAATTTTGTGGTTTTTATGCAGGTGGTTGTGAATCAACTGCTGCATGGAGGCTTCAATATTATCAATGGGCAATGCAGTTATTTGAACGATATAACATTAGTGAAGGTGCTTGCCAGTTTGCTCTTGCTGCACTTGAGCAAGTTGATGAAGCTCTACGAATGAAAGATGAAAAGTCCATAAACAACTCAGTTAATGAATCAGTGACTGCCATCAAGGGACGACTATGGGCAAATGTTTTCATATTTGCATTAGACCTAGGTCGATATTATGATGCATATTGTGCAATAATATCAAATCCGGATGAGGAGAGCAAATACATCTGTTTGAGGCGTTTCATAATTGTTCTTTATGAACAAGGTGCTATAAAGGTTGGATATTTGACCTCTACCTATTGTTTTTGGTAAGTTGATGTAAATAATAGGAGAGAGGTTATATGCACAACTTCTTTGTCCTTACAAACTCCTTACACACATTATGTTACCTTTAGATCAAAATCAAATCAAATCAATGGCTCTTAGTTGATGCAATTTTGTTACCGTAGATTTGATTTTGATCTATCGGTAACAAAATGGTTATAAGGATGAGGAGGTTGTAAGTATAACCTGCCTCAAAAAATAGAATGAAATAGATATAAAACTATGTATTTTGGAATAATATTTTGATTGTTGTCCTCAAAGGTCGAATACAGGAATTTTAATTTGTGACGACTAGGAATAGGTTACATGATTGAAGTGGGTACTTGAGTTGAAGTACCCAAGTTTATAACATAGTAGTACTCTGTTACTCCCTCTTACATCATTTCATTTGCATATATGTAATTCATAATTGCGCATAAATCTATGCATGAGGTTTCCATTTCTGTGTAAATGATATTTTGGTATGTTTCCCAATTATTCTGCTGTATCTTGGATGTTGCTATACTTTTTTAGTTAAAACTACACTTGAAAGTATGAATGTATTGTATTCAATTGTGTATAAAATTGTACAAGAGTCCTCTATTTAAAGAGGTTAAATGACCTAATGGGCTAAGCCCAAATAACCTTCTAGAATAATAAACTAATAATAATAAAACTAATATTATTTCTAACACTCCCCCTCAAGCTGGTGTGTATATATCATAAGCACCCAGAAAGTTACATATATGGTCTATTCGGGGACCTCTAAGAGCCTTGGTGAAAACATCTGCAAGTTGATTACTGGAATTGACAAATGCTGTCTCGATCTCGCCTGACTGAATCTTCTCTCTAACAAAGTGACAGTCAATTTCTATATGTTTAGTCCTCTCATGAAAGACTGGGTTAGAGGATATGTGCAATGCGCCTTGATTGTCACAAATGAGTTTCATACAGAGATGTAATTCCTTAAGCTATTTTTTTAGCCAGATGAGCTCACAGGTTGCATTTCCCATTGCCCGATATTCTGCCTCTGCACTTGATCTGGCAACCACAGTTTGCTTCTTACTCTTCCTAGAGATCAAATTTCCTCTGAGGAGAACACAATACCCCGAGGTGGATCGTCTGTCTGAAGGAGAACCTGCCCAGTCAACATCTGAATAGCTAGACGCTTCTGCATTCCCTTTATTAGTGTATAATAAACCTCTTCCTGGTGCCTTTTTGATATATCGAAGAATCCTGATAACTGCATCCCAATGAGAGTCACAAGGAGAGTCAAGGAATTGACTTCCACACTAACTGAAAAAGAGATGTCTGGTCTTGTCACAGTAAGATAGTTCAACTTTCCAACTAGTTGGCCGTAACGACCAGGGTCTGCTAATGGCTCCCCCTGTCTAGGTAATAACTTAATATTAGGATCCATAGGTGTATCAATGGGTTTACATCCCAACATACCAATCTCATCTAAGATATCCAGTGCATACTTCCTCTGCCAAATGCAAATGCCCTGCCTAGACTGTGCTACTTCGATTCCTAAGAAATATCGAAGTCTGTCAAGATCTTTGGTCTGAAACTGATTGAATAAGTACTTCTTTAACTGATCAATCCCAGCTTGATCGCTGCCAGTAATAATGATGTCATCAATATAGACCAGGAGATAGATGCACTGGCCAGAAGAGCTATGCCGATAGAAGACAGAATGATCTGCTTTACTTCGGGTTAAACCGAAGGATTGAACAGCGGATCTGAAGCGACTAAACCAGGCTTGAGGAGACTGCTTCAGGCCATATAAAGATTTACGAAGCTTGCATACCATGCCAGAACTCTCCCCCTGAGCTACAAAACCTAGTGGTTGCTCCATATATACTTCCTCCTGCAAGTCACCATGTAAGAAGGCATTTTTGATATCAAGCTGAAGAAGGGGCCAGTGATAAATGGCCGCAAGTGCAAGAAACAGACGAACAGAGGCCATCTTGGCAACAAGAGAAGAAGTATCCCCATAGTCAAGACCAAAAATCTGAGTGTATCCTTTAGCCACTAATCGAGCTTTGAGGTGATCAATAGTGCCATCAGGACCAACTTTGACTGTGAATATCCATCGACAACCAACAATCGACTTCCCAGGAGGAGCACGAACAAGATCCCATGTGCCATTGGAGTGAAGTGCTTGCATTTCATCAATCATCGCCTGACGCCAACCTGAATGGGAAAGTGCTTCACCTATGGTTTTAGGAATGAAAATAGACGAAATACTAGAAACAAAAGTAAAATGTGGTGAAGAAAGTTTATCATAACTCAAGAAACTGTAAAGTGGATGAGGGTTACGAGTGGATCGAATACCTTTACGAGCAATGGGAGTAATCTCTGATGGAGGATCCAGAGGGGAAGAGTCGATAGGAGAAGGCGATGAGTCAGCAAGGGTCAAGTCCGCAGGAGGCGCAGTCTGACGACGTTGATAGGTGAGAAAAGGGCGATCCTCTGGGATGGAGGCAAGAGGTTTCTCCTCTGGGATAGAGTCACTTGCAGCTGGTAAAGATAAGTCAAGAAAAGAAACAGGAAGAACCTGATCAACCTGTGATATCTGAGACGGGATAGAATGAAAAGGTTGTTGATCAAGAAAAGTGACATCAGCAGAGACAATATAACGCTGGAGGTCAGGAGAATAACAACGATACCCTTTTTGAAAACGAGTATATCCTAGAAAAATACACTTGAAGACTTTGGATGTTAATTTGTCTTTTCCTGGAGTAAGATCGTGAACAAAGCAAGTACATCCAAATATATGTGGAGGCAGAGGATAGGAATGTGCTCCTGGAAATAATACACTATGTGGAACTTCATTATTTAGCACAGAGGAAGGCATGCGATTGATGAGAAAGCAAGAGGTGATAATAACATCTGCCCAAAAACGGAGTGGAACATTCATATGAATTAGAAGGGTACATGCAGTTTCAACCAGATTTCTATTTTTACGTTCAGCTACTCCATTTTGTTGTGGAGTGTGTGGACAGGTGGTCTGGTGTATCGTTCCATATTTTTCCAAAAAATTAGAAAAATCAAGAGACACATACTCTTTTGCATTATCACTACAAAATATCTTAATAGAAGCACCAAATTGAGTATTTATTTCAGCACAATTTTTTTGATAAATTGAAAATAATTCAGAACGGTTTTTCATTAAATAAACCCAAGTACAACTAGAGAAATCATCAATAAAGGTTACAAAATACTGAAAACCCTAAACAGATAAAGTTCGACTTGGACTCCAAATATCAGAATGAACAATAGAAAAGGGAGCATCAGCTCTTTTATTGACTCTATTAGTAAAGGAGGAGCAAATGTGCTTCCTTGCTGACAAGACTGACAGTTTAAAAACTTAAGACTGGATAAAAAAGAACCATATGTTGAAGCTTGGAAAGACTTGGATGACCTAGACGGCTGTGGATTAATTCAGGAGACTCTGTGAGAGAGCACGCCACTGGAGAAGGTGGTGCAGTCAGATAGTAGAGACCTCGTGACTCATTGCCCGCTCCAATCGTCTTCTCCGTACCCGGATCCTGCATAGAAAAAGATTGTTTAGAAAAGGTAATAGTGCATGAAAGAGAATGAATTAGCTGGCTAACAGAGATTAAATTGAAGGGAATGCCAGGTATATAATAAACAGAGGTCAAAGTCAAAAAGGGAGTTGGGTTGACTTGCCCAATTCCACGAGCAGGGGCCTTAGTGCCATCGGCAAGAGTAACAGAAGGTAGATTATTAGAATAAGAAAGTGAAGTAAAAAGATCCTTATTACCACAAAGGTGATTAGTAGCACCTGAGTCTATTATCGAAGGTCCAAGAGATGATTGAGAAAGACAAGCAATATGATTACCAGTGTCTTGCTGAGAAGAAACCTTCTTGAGAAGTGCCTCATAGCCAGCATTCGAAAGAGTTACTGATCCAGTAGAAGGTGATGTAACATCAGTCTGAGCAAAGTTGGCAGTTGGTAGCTTCAAGTGAGGGTATTTCCTATAGCAACGTTCTTCATAATGTCCAAGGTTCTGACAATAATTGCAACGAGGCCTCTGTTCGTGGCCTCCACGTCCGCGACCGCGTCCACTATTCCAATTGGAATCATTGGCACGAGAAACAAACGCAGTTGAATTAGTGGCTGGCCCATGTGTGGGTCTGCGGATTTATCCTTGAGATTCAGAAGGCGCTGGAAAGTTTGTGACAGGCTAGGAGTCTCAGCACTGGTTAGAATATTTTCACGAACATTTTCTAATTCCTCTGAAAGTCCGGAAAGGGTTACGACCGTAAAGAAGCGCTCCACCTGCTTCTTGTACGCAGAGGCATCTGCAACATGAGGTAACATAGCTAAGAATTCCTGCATCAAAGACTGAATCTTACCAATATAAGTCTCCATTCGAGCATCTGGTGATTTGCGCTAGTCCATTATCTGAGAAACAATGGAATAAAGCTGCTGAATATCTTTGGTGTAGAGATTTTTGGCTTCCTCCCATACGTCATAGCAGGTCTCAAAGGGGATGAAAATGTCTATAACTGCCGGATCAATGGATTGCCAAAGGATACTCAGTAGTTGAGCATCAATCTTTTCCCATTCATGAATCTGATCCTTCGGAATATCAACAGATTTTGTCGTGAGATGTTTACCGTGTCCTTGACCTATAAACCAGATCTTAACGGAGGTAGACCAGGTCTTGTAAGTAACAGATCCGGTTAGTTTCATCGTTGTAATGGATGGGGTAGTACTGGAGATGATGCCGAAAGTGTTTTTGACCGCTTTACTTGAGCTCTCCATCACAAATATAAAGGAGATGACCAGAAAATAGCAAATAACTGCAAGAAAGCAAGAAGTCACGCAAAAACGTTGCAAAAAGATGTCCAAACAACAAGTTTTTCCCCGATATCTTTCAAACGGATGGAACCCACAACGAACGGAGACCAGATCTGGAAAGAGGGTGAGGAGGCGAGCACGCTGGTGGTGGTCCGGCCTGGAACGGTGGCTCACGCGCCGGAAAAGTGATTCAGCCACCGGAAACTTCCACCGTCGCGTGGCAGCGCGTGGATGCTCCGATCACCGCGCGGCTTGCACAAACAAGGTCACCTCCCTGAGCCGCTCCTGATCTCGTGGTGGTTTGCCGGAAAAATCGTCGGAAAAGGTGTCTGACGACGGTGAACAGTGACAGGCGGTGGTTTTATGGTGGTTTCCGGCGATGAACGAAGGCTGACGATGTTTTTCCTGATGATACGAGGTTGAGGACAAAAAATTGGTGACTAAATAAGGGTTAGGTGTGAAAGGAAGGTTGCCGGTATGATGCACGGCAGGATATGCGGAAGCAGGTTTCCCAGATCACAAGCTCTGGTACCAACTTGAAAGTATGAATGTATTGTATTCAATTGTGTATAAAACTGTACAAGAGTCCTTTATTTAAAGAGGTTAAATGACCTAATGGGCTAAGCCCAAATAACCTTCTAGAATAATAAACTAATAATAATAAAACTAATATTATTTCTAACAACTACTATGACGTTGTTCTTCACTTAACATGCTGAGAGTGATATGTTAATATTTACTGTGTGTTTGCGTGTATATATCAAAATATAGTGCATGTCGATAATTTCCTACCAGAAACTTTATACTTTTCCAATTCACATATTTTAATGAGTATTTCCCACCCTAATCTTTATTGTTTTTATTCTTGACAGATTCTGTGCAGTAATAAACTTCCCCTTATTGGTTTAGTGGAAAAAGTAGAGCAAGAGCTTGCTTGGAAGGTATTCCCTGACTGAAAAGATTGAATGTTGTTAACTCGCATTTTTCCTCAATATGCAGAATTTTTACCGTGTAATATGTAGGCTGAACGATCAGATATTTCTGCAAAGCCAAACTTGTATAAGTTACTCTATGCATTTGAAATGCATCAGCATAATTGGCAACGAGCAGCGAACTACATATACCTGTATTCAGCTCGTTTGAGAACTGAAGCAGCTTTGAAAGATAACCAAGGCAGTTCCTTGATGTTGCAAGAGAGGCTGAATTCACTCTCTGCTGCAGTCAATGCACTGCATCTTGTTCATCCTGCATATGCCTGGATTGATCCACTGGCTGAGGGAAATTCTCTTATGAGTGAACATTATCCGAGTAAGAAAGCTAAAAGAACACCAGATGAACATAGTAAGTAATTCAACGACCGAAGTTATGCTGCTAGTTATGAACTTATCATTTCATTATAAATTTATGATGTTACATCAGCATTTTTACTCTTCCATATTTTTGGCAGAATGATATGTGCGAGAGAAAAAAAGGATTCTTATATGATATTTGTATGTGTTGGATATTAAGTTTTTCACATCTGTACTAATACTAGTATTATGGTCTTTTTAAATGGGTATCCCTTATAGATATATTGAGGGATTAGGTAGCTTTGTTTCATTAAGATTTTCTTTTGTTTGTTTTTTTTTTATTTTTTTTCTTGTTTAGAAGGATCTTATCCTCTCAAATCTTTGTAATCATCTTCTCTGTCTTAATGAATATCTTCTTTTATCATTTAAAAAAAATTGTAGTAATGCTTTTTTAAGAGGTGGTGATATATTATAAACTTTAACTGCACCAGCTGATAATGATGCTGAGCCTAAAAGCTGGCAGTCATCTATTGATATCGAGAAACTTGAGAACGAGTTTGTCCTAACTTCAGCTGAGTATATGCTGTCACTGGTAAATGTCAAGTGGACATTTTCTGGTAAGTCTCTTTTCTTTTTAATTTTCTTTTTTCATATGACTGTTTCTACGGTGATCAGTGATATTAAGTTTTAATATACTTTTTTTTTTAGTTGATAGAATTTTGAATGTGTGCCCTTTTTTTCACATTTAAGGAAAACATGGAGCCCTGTCAGATTTGGCTGATCTTCTTGTCCAAAACAATTTATATGATATGGCCTTTACAATCCTTCTCAGATTTTTCAAGGGTTCTGAACTGAAGAGGTTTACATCCTGCACTTAAGTTGCATATATATATATGTGTGTGTGTGTGTGTGTGTTTGTATGTATGTGTTGCTATGCTTATATTCATGAATTGGTCTTTCTCTTCAGGGAACTGGAAAGGGTTTTTTCTGCTATGTCATTGAAATGCTGTCTTGATAAAGTAGAATCCACTTGGGTTGAGTAAGTTAACCTATTCCTTAGCATTCTTCTCAGCACTCTTTATTATATATTGTTGAAATAAGATACCTGACTTATTGTAGCTTATCAGTCATTCTGATGGTTTTAAAATTTGTTTTTATTATTGTCTATTTAGTAATTTGGCACTTAGTGTGTTTTCAAATTTTTGCTAGTCTGTTCCTGTCAGTACTTACTGTGAATTGCATAATTTATAAATGTGTTGGATGATTTCAGGGAACATGGTCATTTGTTGACGTCATCAAAGCTTGAGATGGTTATCCATGGTTCACCTGTTACAGTTCCTACTACTCCACAAACTGACAGAAATAGTCGTTGGGCAACTCTCAAGTTTTCCCTTGTTGGTTTCTTCTGCTAGTTATGATGTGTTGGCCCTTAATTGTTTTTAGCCTGTCAATGAGTTTGTCTGATATTAGATTACGTGAATAATCATAAGATTGGTTGTTAATCAAATTGTATATAGGCCAGGTTAATGCATTCATAACTAGATTAATGCATTTAGTTCTCTGATAGCTCAAGATGATCTGGAGCCTAGCCTATACCATTATAAGGATTCCATGATCAGGTTGTTGAATAGACTTGAGTTAATTTCATGGTCTACTATACCACATTACCACTTATATCTGTACATGCATATGGAAAGAGATGGTTGGATTGGATCATAATCACCACGATATGTTGTTGGAATGAGAATTTGTTTTGGAATTTTGAGAATGAAATATTCAATGAATAATGGGTCTTCACCTAAACAGTTGGGCATTTATAGCAGATGTGCTAGGGTTTGGGAGAGGATAGGGGGAACTTCGATGCATATGTAGATCATGTAATCTGGTGAATCAGATTGAGAAGAATGTTAAGTTTTTAATAAGCATTATTATTATTAATTTTTTTGATACATCAACATCAACATTTTTATCCCAAATCAATTGTGTTCGGCAGTCAATGAACCCTAAAAATATAAAAAAATATAAGATTGAGGAAAAAAGAAACAAAAAAATTAATTAATAATAATAATAGTGAATAAAAAAAAATAAAAAAATGAGAGAAAAATAGATAAGAGGAAAAATAACTAAATATGAAGAAAAAAGTAAATTAGAAAGATAGATAAATAAATAATCAGGGAAGAAGAGAAATTTTTAGGTAAGCGTTAGTATTGCTGGGACATGTTATTTTTGTTTGGCTTTCTTTTGGCTTGTACCCGGAACTCATGATGAGTGTCTTGTCATTTAATGAGTTGGTTCCGGGTTTTTAGTTCCAGTACTTTCCCCTCTGCATTTAAAGGGTGGGGGCGGAGGAACTTAAGCCGCTAAAAACTTGTACTATTGGAAACAGTATACCGTGCTCCATATCAGCAAGATGACATTCTTTTGAATTTCATCCAGCTGTTTAGTTGGTTACAGATGGAGTATTCCCTTACTAAAAGATGTTTCTAGTCTTGTAGAAGTCTCATGATAATTTCTCTTAATTGGGACGAAGTTCTGTCATTTTGTTGTTTAGGGAGGAGGGGGGCTTTGTTGTTTCAGTCACTTCAATGGTATCTTTTTGTTTACATTTTTTCTGTGTCCCCTGTTCACTCTTTCCTTTGTAACTGCCCCTAAATTGCAGGAAACATATAAGGAATTTCATGGTAGATTACCAGTTATTGTTGCTGAGAGTCTTCTGCATGCAGATCCTAAGATTGAATTGCCCCTTTGGCTCGTTCAATTGTTCAAGGTAATTTTGTAGGCTTAAAATTGCAGTCATTGATTAGTGTTTGTTGATGCAAGAGAATGCCTGTTTGTTTTAAAATTAGTTTTGATAGTGTTTCTACAAAACATAATATATGATTCTGCTTGAGATTGGATATTTGTGTGTCTAATATGAGCACACGAATATATTTATATTAATAAGTACAAAAACTAATCTATTATATACATTGTACTACTTTAACATATTATTCTAACACTCCCCCTCGAGCTTGTGCGTATATATTGTGAGTACCCAGCTTGTTACAAATGTATTCAACCCTAGGATCTCTAAGAGCTTTAGTGAAGACATCCGCGAGTTGATCCTTGGAGTTGACAAATGTCGTTTTGATTTCTCCTGACTGAATTTTTTCTCGAATGAAGTGACAATCGATCTCTATGTTCTTGGTTCTTTCATGAAATATAGGATTAGATGATATATGTAGCGCAACTTGATTGTCACAAATGAGTTTCATGGTCTGTTTCTGTTCACAAAGATGGAGCTCCCGAATCAACTGCTTTAACCCGAGGAAGGCATGCGGTTGATGAGAAAACAAGATACGAGTACTGCATCTACCCAAAAGTGAAGAGGAACGAACATGCATGTGAATAAGAAGAGTCATGGCAGTTTCAATGAGATGTCTGTTTTTACGTTCGGCCACCCCATTTTGTTGTGGAGTGTGACGACAAGTAGTTTGATATAAAATACCTTGTGTGGCCAAGAAATTAGAAAAGTCAAAAGAAACAGTCCTTAGCATTATCACTACGTAAAATATGAATAAAGGAACCAAATTGAGTATGAACCTCAGTAGAAATTTTTTTATAAATGGAGAATAACTCAATGATTTTTCATTAAATAAATCCAGGTACAACGGGAATAATCATCAATAAATGTAACGAAATACCGAAAACCTAAAACAGACAAGGTAGAATTTGGACCCTAAATATCTGAATGAATAAGAGAGAAAGGAGCATCAGTTCGTTTATTGACTCGACTTGCTAAAGAGGAGTGTATATGCTTCCCTTGCTGACACGACAGACAATCTAAAGACCGAAGACCATATAAAAGAGGAACCATCTTTTGTAATTTTGAAAGACTTGGATGACCGAGGCGACTGTGGATAAGTTGTGGAAATTTTGTGAGAGTGCATGCCACTGAAAGACAAGGCACAATCAGATAGTAAAAACCCCGTGACTCACGGCCTCTCCAATCGTTGTCCCCGGATCCTGCACAGAAACAGAATTGTTAGAGAAAGTAGTGATGCAAGTAAGGGAGTGGACCAATTTACTAACAGAAATTAAGTTATGAGGGATGCCAGGAATGTAGTAGACAGATGTCAAGGTCAAAGAAGAGGTCGGACATGCTTGTCCAATCCCACGAACAGGGGCTTCAGTGCCATCAGCAAGAGTAAAGGAAGGTAAATGATTAGAATAAGTAAGAGATGTAAAGAGTTCCTTATTACCATAGAGGTGATTGGTAGCACCTGAATCAAATATCCAAGGATCAAGTGATGTAGAATGAGAAACACAAGTAACAGGACTACCAGTATCTAGAGCGGAAGGTTGAGACTGAGGAGAAGCCTTCTTGAGTAGAGTCTGGAGTGCTGCATAGTCTGCAGGTGAGAGAGAGACTAAACCAGATGAAGCAGTATATAACTGAGCTATAGTCGCAGCACGAGAGGGTCACAGGTGAGGATACTTCGTGTAACAACGCTCCTCAAAATGACCAAGTTGTTGGCAATAATTATAACAAGTTCTCTGACCACGCCTGCCCTGGCCCCTGCCATGACCGAGACCACTATTCCCGCGAGGGTTAGTACGGGAAACAAAAGCAATGGAATCAACAACAAAAGATAAATCAGGAGCAGGCATTGGTTTCTTGTTGAGATTTAAAAGGTGTTGGTAAGTCAGTGATAAATCAGGATCCTCGCTAGTCAAGATAGTGTCACGGACACTCCCATACTCCTCCGGAACACCAAAAAGAATGGCAACCGTAAAAAGACTCTCCACTTGTTTCCTATATGCAGAGGCATCAGTAGGGTAAGGCAACATATCCAAGTATGCCTGCATCAAAGATCGACTTTTGCCAACATGTCTCCATATGAATGTCAGATGATTTGCACAAATCCATTAATTGAGATATGATAGAATAGAGCTGCTGAATATCATTAGTGTAGAGGTGTTTGGCTTCCTCCCACACTTCATAGCATATCTGAAAAGAATAGAAAATGTCTAGAATGATTGGATCAATAGACTACCAAAGGATACTCAAAAGCTGGTTGTCAATTCTTTCCGAATCAGATTTCTCTTCCTTAGGAACAGCAGTAGGTGTCCAAAGAACCAGACACGAACACATGGCCCAATTCTTGTAGTTAACAGAACCTTTTAGTTTGGAGGAAGTAATGGACCCATCATTAGTGGAGATTATACCCGAGGAATTTTTGGCAGGAGGAGGAGAAGTAACCTCAGGAGATGATGCTGCCATTAAATTAAATTATGAATGTAAAAACAAAACTTGCAGAACCAAGTAAATAGAAGCAAACCGATAGCCAAACAAGAAGAAACACAGGTCAAACAAGAGACCCACGAAGAATCAAGAGTACATCTGGAAAGAGGGGACAAAACTGAGCAATTATGTCTTGGAACGACCTAAAAAGGATGCCAGAATAGTGTTTTCGGCGATGAATAGTGATTCCGACGATGAACAGTGATCCTGTCAGTGAACAGTAATTCCGGCGGTGGACAAAGGTTCTGACAGTTGTAGGAACAAGCCGGAGGGACGCACGACATAGAGGACTTGTCGGAGGGACACACGACAGATGAATGTTTGCCTAAAGGATGCACGACAAGGAAGGAGAGAACACCTAAGTGGTGGGTTTAGGGTTTTGGCGGAAGCGAAAGTTAGAACAAAGAGATTTGGTACCAACTTGAGATATTTCAAATTGGATAATTGTGTGTCTAATATGAGTACACTGGGAATATAGTTATATTAACAAGTATAGAAATTAATCTATCATATACAAGATGTAGGACTATTCTATTATATACACTGTACTGATGAAAAGAAAAAGTGTTTTTCTGTATAACACTATTGATTGATTACATTGAGAGACCCAATAGGTCCTATTTATATTGAGTACAAAGAACAATGCTAATAAATAGCAACAGTAAACTAAGAGGCTTATTTACAATAACAAGAGACATTAATAAATAAGGGAACAAATAACAAGGAAGTGATAAATGATAATCTAGAATATTCTACACTCCCCCTCAAGTTGGGAGATATATATTGATCATTCCCAACTTGCTGATCTAATCCTCAAAGGTCGGCTTAAGTAAACCTTTGGTGAGAATATCTGCCGTTTGTTCCTTGGTAGGTATATATGACAAGCATACACTACCGTCTTCTAATTTTTCTTTGATAAAGTGACGATCGACTTCCACATGTTTTGTTCTGTCATGATGGACAGGATTTTGAGCAATGCTGATAGCAGCTTTATTATCACAATATAATCTGATAGGTAGGGAATAAGAGATCTTCAACTCTTCCAGAAGCCTTCTTAACCAAATTCCTTCACAAATACCATGGGCTAAAGCCCGAAATTCCGCTTCTGCACTGCTTCTTGCAACAACAGTTTGTTTCTTACTTCTCTAGGTCACAAGGTTTCCCCAGACATAAGTACAATATCCTGAAGTAGATCTTCGGTCCATTGCAGAGCCAGCCCAGTCTGCATCTGTATAAACTTCAACCATCCTTTTGTTCCCCTTTTTAAAGAGAATTCCTCGACCAGGGGTGTTTTTGAGGTACTTGAGAATTCTATAAACAGCACTAAGGTGTTTTTCCTTAGGAGAATGCATGAATTGGCTAACCATGCTCACAGCAAAAGCAATATCAGGACGAGTATGAGACAAATAGATTAATTTCCCCACTAGTCTCTGGTACTGCTCCTTATCAACATCCTCCCCGTCCTCAACTCCCATCTTGATATTAGCTTCAATTGGAGTCTCTGCTGGCTTGCACCCAAGCATACCTGTTTCTTGCAACAGGTCTAGAATGTATTTTTTCTGAGTTAAGGAAATTCCTTCCTTACTTCGAGCAACTTCCATGCCAAGGAAGTATTTGAGAGATCCAAGACCTTTTAGTTCAAACTGATCAGCTAAACATTTTTTTAAAGAGGCTATCTCCTCGGTATCATTACCAGTGACAATTATGTCATCAACATAAACAATGAGGATAACAATTCTACCTTTGTCAGAGTGTTTAAAGAATAAAGTGTGATCAGTCTGAGCTTGGGTGAACCCTCTTCCCTTAACAGCTTGAGTAAATTTTCCAAACCATTCTCTGGGAGATTGTTTAAGTCCATAGAGAGACTTCTGCAACTTGCACACAGAACCATCCCCTTTTTCAAAACCAGGAGGTGGATCCATGTAAACTTCCTCATGTAGATCACCATTCAAGAAGGCATTCTTGACATCTAACTGTTGCAATGGCCAATCAAGGTTGGCGGCAAGAGATAGCAGAACGCGGATAGTGTTAAGCTTGGCAACAGGAGCAAATGTCTCCTGATAATCAATCCCATGAGTCTGAGTAAATCCCTTAGCAACTAATCTGGCCTTATACCTGTTGATGCTGTTATCTGCATTAAATTTTATTGTGAACACCCACTTGCAACCAACAGTTTTTTTTCCTTTAGGTAATGTCACAAACTCCCATGTTCCATTTTTTATAAGTGCATCCATTTCTTCTAATACGGCGTTCCTCCATTTTGGGTCATCAAGTGCTTCTTGGATATTTTTGGGTATCCTGGTACTATCTAACATAGTGTTGAAAGCACGAAAACCTGGAGATAACTTCTCATATGAGATATAATGGGAAATAGGATGAGCAGTGCAAGATCTAGTACCTTTGCGAAGGGCGATGGGCATATCAATGTTGGCTGTGCTAGTGCATTCAAGTGGGTTGCTAGAGCAAGGACTCGAGTTAGGATCCTGGCAGTCTAG